GTGTTAGCTTGGCATACCGTATGATCTTGAGGACAAAACTAAATCGAGAGGCATGGTTGCATGAGGCTGAGGGATCGTTGTATGTTCAGCATGAAAGCAAGCAATGGAGCAGCATCTGGCACATTCAAGTACCATCAAAGCTCAGGATGTTCATGTGGAGGCTAGCTAGGCAGTCCATGCCTACTGGTGAGCTGTTGATGCACCGTCATATGTCGACAGAGGATACATGTAACCTCTGCGGGGCGAGGGACACATGAAGACATGCGCTACTTACTTATCCGATGTCCAGCAGTGTTTGGGCTTTGGCTCCTGAACAGCTCGTGCAACACTAGTTGATCGACAAGAGGAGAGCCCGAAGGATTGGCTTTTTGCACTACATGAGATACTAGGCAAGGAAGCTTTTGTGCGGCTTGTTGTCACTTCATGGGCAATCTGGGGAGCGAGAAGGAAAGCAATCCATGAGGATATCTTCCGGTCACCGTTATCAATTCACAGCTTCATCACATGATACTTGACCGAGCTTCAAGTTTTGAATACAGTGTCGTCGAAGCCGATGGTAGCGAAAGCCCCAAGAGCTACCGTTTGGTAGCCGCCGGTAGCGAACAGTGCAAAAGTAAATGTTGATGCTGCGGTACCTTAATACAGAATATACGGCGCCGTGGGTGCGATAAGCAGGAGCGCCGCTGGAGCGTTCTTGGGAGCCTCAGCCCTGGTATTCAGATATGTTTCAAAACCGAAAACACTTGAAGCATTGGCTATTCGAGAAGCACTTGCTTTATCACATGACTTATATCTGCGGAGGATCTATGTGCCTTCCGACTACAAAGTGGTGGTTGAAGATATTACGAAGGAAAATGCCCCTCGGTATGGAGTAATCACACATGAAATAATAGATCACTCGTCGTCTTTTGATTTTTATAAGTTTAGCCATGAATTCAGGAGCTCAAATTTTGAGGCTCGCAATTTAGCGAAGCATGCACTTTCTGTAGGGGTTGTCCGCCATGTTTGGTTAAGCCATCCCGAAAATCTTCCTTTCGTCCCTGTAAACATTGTGACGACTTAATAAAAGCTTCGCGAGATCGTCTCAAAAAAAAAACTTGGACTCAGCCAACGGTGCCAATACGTCTAACCCCGTTGCTGTGTTTTTTCTCAAAAAAATTAAATTCAGTGTGCACCAGTGTGAATATCATACGGAAACCAAATTCAAAGAAAACTTCACGGAAACCATGTTTGAAAGTTCAAGAAAATCTGAAAAAAGTAATGGGATGTTAAGATGATGATGTTCTATTGTAGCGGGGGCGAGGCTTGAGTCCATTCTCATCTGATGACACGACAACCCTGAAGAGTAAACAGGTTACTGAGCAGTCGGTCCACACTTCCCACATCATCCAACTCGCAAGCAGTAGCATACAACCCACTAACCCAGCTTAAGCCCAGGCAAAACGAAACTACAAGTTGAAGAATCATCGCGCCAAGGACACGAGACATCAGTCAGCGAAACATAACGCTATCAAGATTACAAAAAGAAGCTGTGACCGTAAATGTCCAAACACTGTCAAAATTTCCGCATCTCCAATGGAGCAACTGCCACACAAATATGGGTAAAATAGAAGCATCGATCATATCTATGTTTTTACACCACCACCATGTTGCAACATCACCCGACTGATCTCACCTGTTCGCCTCCACCTCATAGCTTTCCAACCTCGACTTGCCAGGCAGCACGTTGCCATTCTCCACTCCGGCAGTGCCCATTGCCAACAAAACTCGTCCTCTCAAGTGTGTTCATGGACAAACTGGCTAAATAATTATTGTACTGGTTTTGCTGTGGATCATATAGGTCACCTATTTCCAATTTTACAACAGTGCTACATCTGCGGCTCAAACCAGTTCAAACACGGCGATATGAACTAATCTCACAAATATCAACAGTAATAGTACGGACCGGCATCAACTTGCCTCCACTTCCTTCTCTGCGTGTTCTTCCTTTGGCAACTCCTGCACTGTAGCCATGTTAATCAATTCACTCTCTACTACTGAGCTGGTAGCAGATATCACATCAGCAGGAGCAACTGGGGTCGATGGGCCTGAGTTGGAGCCTGAGTATTGCCCCATCAAGTTCTTTGATGTGTTTAGAGCATGACAATGTGGGCAATAGTATGTAACGTGTGGGTAATCTTCCTTCCGGGCCAAACCTGCACATTAGTAAGTTGGGTAGGTCACGTGTCCATTCTTTCTAAGGAAATACTCCCTCTGCCTCAAAATGTAAGACTTTTTTTTTACACTATCTAGTGTCAAAAAACGTCTTGCATATTGAGACAGAGGGAGTAGCTAAAAAGGTCAAAGAGTTTTGTTTCTCATACATACCATTATGCATATGGCAATTGCCACAGATCAAAGCGTACGACTGTGATGGGTCCTCCCCAACAAGTAAGGCAGCGATTTTTGCAACCCATCCACCATCACTTGCCCCAGAGCCTTGATAATGTTCTACAACCCTTGTAGACTGTACGTTTTCCAGGCCAGCATTAAGAGCTGGGTTAGATTCAGCACCTTGTGCCGAAGTATGAGCAGCTGTAGTGCTACCAGTCCTGCTGACTCTTGCATTGGGTTGCTTCCTGTTTCTCAGCCCATCTGATGGCAATATCTCAGCATTGTTGCTCATAACCACTGCTGCATCAGAATTTGGTTCTTCCCCAAGATGTACTCTTAAGCCAGAATCCGCCCCCAGCTTAGATGCCAAAACCGAAGCTGCAGCAGCTTTTGCAGCTGGATCAAGATCATATTTCTGCACATGTTCAAGTTGGGATACACTTTGTCATCATTTAGTACTGTTGTGTCAATGCCATGATAAAATTCTATCCCAAGTAATGAACTCAATGGCTAGACCAATGACCGCTTACCTGGATAAGCTGTTGGGTAAGGTAATAATTCGTCCGTTCTTTCAGTTCATCAATCTTGGCTTTCCTTTCAGCTCTCAACTTTTCAAGTGTTTTCTCATCTTTCCGTTCAACTGTGAACACAGGGAAGTAATTCAATGATACTAACAAGGTGTACTGATAAGATAATAAATCATATAGGTTAGTACTGGACAAGATTAACATATTAATACTCCCTCCGTCCGGAAATACTTGTCGGAGAAATGAATGTATCTAGATGTATTTAAATTCTAGATACATCCGTTTTCATCCATTTATGCGACAAGTAATTTCGGACGGAGGGAGTACATATCACAAGATAACATGAGTGCCAAGATCCTTCCTAGCAAAAAGAACGTTGTCCATTTGTCATTTGTGTATCAGAACAAGCATGCAAATTTAGACATGAGAAGATTCAAATCTCCAACACTTTAACATGTCAAGCAATCATGCAACTATCAATATTTGTTGTGATATACTCCCTCCGTTCCTAAATATAAGTCTATGTAGAGATTCCACTATGAACTAGATACGGATGTATATAGATGCATTTTAAGTGTGGATTCATTCATTTTGCTCCGTATGTAGTCCACCTAGTGGAATCTCTACAAAGACTTACATTTAGGAACGGAGGGAGTAGCAGTTATGCCAAATAGAGTGTTAATAATTTGCCAAATACTCCTCAGTTCACAAATATAAGATGTTTTGGATATTTCAATATGGACTACGTACGGACTGAAATGAGTGAACAAGCACACTAAAACGTGTCTACATACATCCGATTCACAAAAAGGTTAGAACGTCTTATATTTGTGAACGGAGGGAATATATCTCGCCACTGTACAAAAATATGAAAGATGATTAACGTGCAAGACTTCAATAGAATTGGCAATAAAGACAACCGATAATCCCTGCTTCCATCTTCACTTCCTAAGATTGCTTTCAGCTAAAATTAATCACACCATATTTCCATTCGGATAAATAGGATCCAGGGGGACAACAACCACTTTCATGGAGATATTATTTACACTTATCTGAGTCCCAAGCAATTCAACACACACTTTGACTGCCATCAAATTCCAGAACGACAAAAGAAAAGAATAAACAAACCAGCATTCCAGCTAAAATGCAAAGTTCGCATTATAAAGCATGAACATAAGTTCTGTAAGACAAGCTACATATTACAACCTCTGAAGTCAAACCCCACAACAATCCTTTTGCTAGAAGCATAACCATTTTAGGAAGATAGGTAAAACTAAAGGAAATCTATCACCTCTGACAAGATTGCACACAAGTGAAAGTAAAGAGACTTGTGTGAGTCAAACTAGAAGCGCCACAACTAAAATATGTGCAAAGAGGTGAAAATGCTATGTGTGCCAGTGCATACATATATTGTAAACTGTTTTGTATTGCATACTTATCAGAAATGAAAAGAATGGAAATTAGTTTAATTATTTTAATTCAAGCCAGAAACTTAAAAATATAGTTCACACCGACATTTGTGGACAAGTACAATAGTGTGCCAGACTACGACAAACTGTTGATCTGCACCCAAAGAAAACATAGTGGTCTATACTTCACAATATTAAAGCCAAAGATATAGTTTACAGAAGTCACATTCGACACATAATCATATAAACATGACAGGATGAGAGCAGCAATGCAGGACTAACTAAGAATAATTAAAAAATTACACAAAAAGTCCAAATATGAGGATCACTAATTATGAATTCTGACAGGGGTTTCAAGTACTTACGCATCCTTGTGAAGTTTACAACTGCTGAATATACCACAGACGATATGGCAGGCAAAACAAACATAGGCAGCACTCGAATTGCCCTCATTTGCCAAGTGAGATCTTCGTCTCTTGTCATCATGATAGCATAACCAACAGCTACAGCCTGAGAATAGGACCTAACTATTAAGAAGGCACAAATTGCTTGCTGGATATTTAGTACAAAAATTGCAATTACTGGTCTAAGATAACTGTAACCCATAGAAGTGCAGAACTCAATAATTCACATAACTAGAGGAGCGCAGAGGCAAACTGTGAATCCCCAAAACAGACTCTCACCACAGCTTAAGAGGAAACCAGTGTTTCCTTTTCGGCAGATACTCAAAAAATAAACCGTCTCGGTAATCCTACTTACTGTTGTTCTAATGAAACCTCAAATACACCAAACTGCAACTAGTATAGATTATAAATAATGTTCCTGCAAATACGCAGATTGCGCAGCATTGGTTTCTCATTGACAATCTAAGCATATAATTAAACATACATTAATTTCTACTTTGAAAATAGTAGCACACAACTGAACATTTTGGGCAAGTGCACAAAAGGCTTGCATAAACTTCTCAAATTCACAGTAATAACTACAAAAGGAAAGGAACTCGCAAATAGCATTGAGTTGTGAACATGAGTATCTGACAGGACAATCATAGCCAAAATCTGTGCGTCTATTCCCAGTAAGAAGATCTACTCTAAAATATGTGCATCTATTCCCAGTTTATCCGCCCATGTGGCCAACTGGCCATGTCTAATCACCATGGATGATCCCTAACTATGAAAGCACTCTGTCTACTTCATTCCAATAAAGCTGATTCGCTTTTAACCTCCGGGGAAAATATAACACTACAACCGCATGTTCCCAATCTCGCACACGACCGCGTACGCGCACGCACAGAAACACGGAAAGGAAAAACTCCCAACGTTAGACTGAAAAAGCATTGAGACAGCCAAATCTCCGAGCGTGAACGGATGGAATCGCCGCGAATCCAAACCTAGGCGCATCCGCAGCCGCTGGACCAGACCATGATCATCTCAGATAGCATACATACGCGTAGTAAATTCGTGAAGGAACAAAGAGCGGGATGGTTAGGGGATTCGGCGACCTCGGCGATGACGGAGAGGACGATGATGTTGCGGACGGTGCGGCGGGAGAACTGGGTCCGGCGGCGCATCCGCGCGTGGACGGCGGCCTCCTCCTTGGACAGGTACTGCAGGCGCTTCTCGTAGTCCTCGCGGCCGCCGAAGAGGCCGCGCCACATCCTCCCCAGCACCCCTCCTCCCGCCTTCTTCTTCTCCCCCTCCTCCTTCCCCTTGCCCTTGGCCTCCACCGGCTCGCCTGCTCCGTCCGCCGGCGTGGAAGCCATTGCCGGGGCTGGCGGATCTGCGCGCCGCGGGATCCGATGGGGT